CTAGACGAATGTCTCTTTTGAAGGATGAGACAAAAGATTTCATATTTCCGAGAATTGCCACAAAAATCGCAGCAAAAATCGCGGCCAGTGTAAACGGGGCTTTACAGCACGTACACGGTACGACATACCGTAACATTCAACAGGGTCTTAAAGATAAGATATCGCACACGCACGCATTTATGTAGCAGACAATGGATGTTGCAAGCCAGGTCACACGACGCAATTTGTTTCACGCAATGTTGATGAAGTAGAAAACGATCCTACTACAACAACATAGCCATAGTATGCAATGTTGCAGTGTGTGTCTGCCCTTTTTAAAATACAAAAAGGAAAGCAAGCAAAAACAAAAACGAGGACAAAATGGCTTACATCTTTTGTTGCTGTAAAGACATGTCGGCCTTGAAGTCGTCGTTGTGTACATTTGTGCAAAGCTTATATGAACAAGGAGTGTTTTTCCTCTCCACAAGAGCTGCTTTGTCAACATCCACTTGTCCGGTTTCTGATATTGATTCACCGTCTCTAGAAGAATAAGTCTCTCCATGGGTAGTGTCTGTCTGTCCTGTACTACTTTGATTGATAGTCAAAGTAACTTCTGCTGAGGTACTGTCTGTCTGTCCTGGGAGACTTTGACTGACAGGTAATTTGTCTTTCTTTTTAATAGTGTCTGTCTGTCCTGTACTACTTTGATTGATAGTCAAAGTAACTTCTGCTGAGGTACTGTCTGTCTGTCCTGGGAGACTTTGACTGACAGGTAATTTGTCTTTCTTTTTAATAGTGTCTGTCTGTCCTGTAATATTTTGATTGACAGGTAAATAAATCTCTCTTTGAGCGCTGTCTGTCTGTCCTGCAGTACACAGATTGCCAGGTAAAGAAACTTCCCTTTTAGTACTGTCTGTCTGTCCTTGAAGACCTTGATTGACAGGTGAAACATTTCCTTCTTGTATGTCTGTCTGTCTAAGGTCTGTAAAACCATGCAGACTTTGATTGACAGGTACAGTCACTTCCTTTTGTATTATGTCTGTCTGTCCCTCCATACTGTCCATCACACTGTAAAGACCTTGACCTATACTTTGATTGACAAGTACAGTATTCCCCTTTTGATTACTGTCCGTCTGTCCTTCCAAATCGTAATCAATCCCAACTGCCTTGAGTAATTTTCTTGGGTTTTGCCTTGTCTCATCTACATTTGGTTCGTTGGTATGCTTGTCGTCAGCAGTATCCTCGCCCCCATCAGTAATGATCCAGTCTAAACACACTAGACTTGACGTATCGCAGGCCTTGTCTTCATACGTTTTCACCTTAAAACAAAACCATGTCACAAATACTATTCTTACCTATAGAGTAAAGGTATTTACAGCCCAAACGGCTCACACATTCTTATTATCATTATTATATAATTTCCCTATGCACTCTAAATGTAATATATACAGTATGAGTACGCCTCGAGTTTGTATATCAGATACAACACGGACATGAATACTGTATATTACTTATCAAACATCTAGGTTAGTTCCTTTGTGTCTCACTAAAATTTTCAAAATTAAAGTGAATCTGGCCAAGAAAATCCAACTTAAAGTTTATGCAAATGAACACAGTTTTGTATCAGATTTACAACACTCTTCACGGCCGTGATTTCTGTTGTGTTTTCCTGCATGAATTATTTTTGAGTTTGATAAGTAGAATTACTGAATGAGTAAATTGTGCTCTCTGTGGCTTTACCTTCAAAGTTGTTTTATTAACATCATTCCTCTCATCATCCTCAGATTCAGAGGGATAGCTGTGAGATCTTTCTTTTCTCAATTCATTTGTGATATTTTCACGGGTTTTGTGTTTTGTCTCTGGGGTTGATAAATGATAGCTGGCCTCATCTCTTTCTTGCCTGAATTTTGAGTGCCATGTTTGACCTGCGAAAAAAAGATTCAAATTTGCAAATGGATCTTTTTAGCTTGGGCATAATGTTATACCCATTTCAGATGACCACATTTCATTTCCTAGAGTATCATTTCTTTGTTTAACAGTAGCTGTACATGAGAAGACACATGAATGTGGATACAACTCAAACAGAAAAATCTTATTCTCAAGGGATTGACATTTGGTGTGAGATAAGGCCAAACAAAAAAATAAGTGTGTTTCCTGTTGCATGAGAAAAATAATTGGGGTCAGTAGGGCTTTTTTTAAAAACTGATATAACAGTGGGAATGAGCTTACTGGGAACCCTGTGGTGCATTTGCGAATGAGAAAAATATTAGGGTCGGAAAAAATTGGCAGGAAAATTAGGGTTGGTTGTGCAATAGAAAATATACTTATTTTTTGTTTGGCCTTAGTAACATTACTTCAAAGGTAAGAGCTATTCTAATTCAATCAGTTAGTTAGCCCTGCCTTGACTTCCAGAAACAAAAAGGTTTCATCAAGGAAAGTTATCAGTAAATACCTGTGACGTCCTCAGACATTGAACGACCAAGCTTCTTCTTTCTTCTCAGGCTGTTTCGAACCTAAAAAATTAGAACATTACGAATCACACAACAATTCTATTATAGCACCTTGAAAAAATAATCAGGAAAATGATCCCCCCATTAGTTTGCATCTCAAACTCGTGGGGGGGGGGGTGGTCATGGCTCTGTCATTCCCCCATCCCCCCCCCCCTAAATAAACCCCTGAACATTGGTAGTTAGACACTAACCCGGCTCATGAATCCTTTTTGGCCAGGACTGGATCTCTCAAAAGGAGATGGAGAATTCCTACCATTGATTTTGTTCTATTAAAAGACATGAATAAGATTAAATATTTATTTATAACACCCCCACATTGTAATCACCAAAATCAAATATTAATACTCTTATCCTTACAGCCACCCAACCACTATTGCTCTCATATAGTTGTCGGGTGTATATTACCTACATCATCAAGATTCATGCTGTGGCAACAACTTTCTTACTGTATTTTAATAATGTTAGTAGTATGTTATGGTTGCTACCATCAAAATCATCAGCACAACATCTTCACCACTGTCACTGTCACTGTCATGCATCATCACCGTCATTGCAATCATCATCATAGACATTTTCTGAGATAGCCAACAAGGTGCATTATGGTCTAGCTTGGGTACAAACATCTTTGGTTCATCATGCCTTATATGGTGTTGCTTGTACCAAATCTAGACCATGATGCATCCTGTTTATCAAACTTAGAAAAGAACAGCTGGTATGAGCCGGTGTCAGCAATATAAAATCTATGAAAATCTAAATAAAATCTATATCAAAATCTGTGATCAAGAACCTAAAATTATTTAAGAACATAAAGGTGCTGGCACACAGTGCAACATTGCACGCAACATTGCAAGCGACAAATATGAATCAGGATGTCACACATTGCAACAAAATCACATAACATCCCTTGCGTAAGCCTGCTATTTCAAGATATTTGGTCAGCAGTTATAAATTTGGTGCAAGCTGATTGGCTGGAAATTTCAAAATGTTGCAGGTAAGGTTGCAGCCATGTTCACATAATGAAATTTGTTGCGCGCAACGTTGTAAGAGGAGAGCGCGATTCAACTTCAGATTTGTTGCATGCAACATTGCGTGCAACAAGTTTGGGGTACACACACGCTGCAACATTCCTGTTGCGTGCAATGTTGCATGCAATGTTGCACCGTGTGTCAGCACCTTAATAGCATGCAAAGGTGGTGAGCAATATCCAGGTCTAATAATCCCAAGCATCATCACCATCATTGCTATCACCATCATTGCCATCACGATCATAACAATAGCATTGCAACCAACATTATCATCATCATCATCATACCTTCAAGTTGGTCAACCAATCCCCATAGCCGGCATCATTTACAGGCGAAAGCAAATATTCCTTTCCTTCATTACTGCAAAATTGGAAAAATAAGGAATGTGGGCAGTATATTTGTAGATAGCTTCTACTTCTCATTAAACACCAGTAACATAAGATAAAATACACTTACCTAGTTAGAATCACAAAGACATCCAATTTTCCTGGTGAAATACCAAATGATCTGAAACAATAAAAACAATGACCGGTTTTCAATATAGATTGATCACTTTAGTGCAGGGAGAAAAACAAGTAAAAGGACATGATGACTGGCAACTAGGAATTTAGCTCAGACATAGAGCATGTCTAGCATGATTGGTTAACATGGGACCAGGCTAGTGTCCAGTCAAGAGGACTTTTTTTTCTAAGAGGTGGTTGGAAAGACAAGTGTTAATACTCCAATTTACAGTTCCGTTCCAAGCCGAGGCTGGAGTTTCCACGCATGATAAAAAGTATAGTTTTGCTATGCGCAGAAACTGCAGCCTCGAGTTGCAACTATTATTCGTGGTCACTTGAACGGAATGTAAAATGGAGTATTGTGGCCACTTTGATCTGTAAGTCAGTCGTGCCTGAGCGATGCCCTGACTTAGATCAGCCCAGAGGTTGTTTTAGGGTTTGATCTGTGAGTTAGCCATGCCCTGACTTAGATCAGCCCAGAGGTTGTTTCAGGGTTCTATCTGTGAGTTAGCCATGCCCTGACTTAGATC